CCCCACCCCAGGGCGCTGGAGGCCACCCGCCACTCATGTTCTGAGAAGGCCACTTCACAGTAAAGCAAACAGAACGCGGGATCTCTGAGGACAAGGGGTGTTCTGTTTAATTGAACCCCCCCGGTCGGCAGTGCTTAAGGGAGGCGAGCATGCGGTTTGGGACGCTGCCCTCTGGGGCCAACATTTCCAAGGCTTTCTGTGGAATTCTGAGCTGTAGACCTTTATTCCTTATACAGGTATTTAAAAACATCCCGTCTAATTCTGTCAAAATAAGTATCCCCGGTAACCTTTTGTTCCTTGTACAAGTATTTTTAAATATTCCATTTAACTCTGTCAAAATAAGTGTCCCCGGTAACCTGTGCTCATACTTTTGTGCTACTAGAAAATGCCACCCTATAGGTTTGACAGCCAGTTCCTACCAGCTGTGCCTGTGTCAGCGACACTCAGAGTTGTATGTTAGCAAAATGAAATTTGGACTTCTTTTTACTGTCCCCTGCTCAGCATGTTCTCACTTGTAGGGAATCTAGCAAACTGTCACGGTAAAGGTCCATGCAGCCCTATTTCTGAGACCGAATAGCCCATTAGCTCTGACCTAGAGGCCAGGAGTCTTAGGAATACTACCTAGGAATAACGCAGTTCACCTAAATCCTCATAAGCAAAACCAAGCGAATGCCTTCTCTCCTGTCTCTCCACTCAACTGTTCGAGACCCTGCCATTCTCTCAGCTCTCCTGCTAGTCTTAGTTCTACCTGTTAGCGTTTCAAATTACTGACTCATTATATTCTAATAAATACAGTATTCAAGATAGGAAGAAATTTACATCCTCCTGAGTTCTGGGTGGTGACCTCACTCAAGTCCGATCCAACCGTGTTCTTGTCTTTCTGGCCACATCCAAGCCCTGTGATGGGGTCAGCACTTTGCCGTGCTGTCCCACGTACAAGGTGAGGCTGGCCGTACCTGCCACTGTCCATCACACAGGATTGCCCTGGGATCAAATGCCAGTATTTCTTAGGCACTTAAAGTGTGCCAGGCACCTTTCTAAGTGCTTTTCCATTCAATCGCATCCCCCCTATGATGCACAGATACTGTCCCAAAGTCCATGAGAAAACTAAGGCACGTAAAATCTTGACTAACTGGCCCCAGATCTCCTGCTAGTGAGTGCTATCCAGCCCTGGCATTATGCCTAGACCTACTGTATTCCTCTGTCCGTATTTGAAATAGCATTGTAACAGGGAAGCCTTTTGCACACACAAGAAGGTGTCTGTGAGCCAAAGAAAGAAATTGTTTTCTTTTTAATTATTTCCTCTTGCTGCTTTCTGGATGACAGTGCTAGTACCTAAGGTCACGAATCAAGGGATCTCACATCGCTACTTCCGTGGGCCAAAGCGCACTTGCAGGGAATACACCTCGATATATATTTAGATCTGACAGTTCTGAACACAACTCGAAATCCTCTCCGGCCCCACCCTTAAGGATTCGAAGCCTTTGTAGTTACGGTGTACCTTAAAAACTGTGAAATCTAATTTTAAAAGTCTCACAACATTACATCCCGTTCACAGAGTAAAACAAGCCGCCTGTGAACGGCTCTGAAACTATTTTTCCTAAATAAAAACTCAGTGGGGTGTAGGGACCAAAGTGGCGATGTCTGCAAAGATGTAAAAGTATATTTTATTTGCCGGGGAAAAGCTCGTGTCACTGAATGGGCAGCACTTCTGTATGGAGAATGGCTCTCCCAGCGTGACCAGCTTCAGTACAAGAAATCCCGCTGAGGCATAGACCCTTCAGAAAGCGTAGGGCCTCTTCTCTCAACAGTCAGCTCTTTTCCTTTTTCCCTTTTTTTAAAACTACCGTTTTTGTGGCAACATTATCGTTTTAACTGCACAAAAGAGCTCGGATTGCAGATGCGCTTCTGATAGCACATTCTTCTCAGTGGTCCACATGGTCCAAAGGCTTGTGAAACAGGAAGCAGCGGAAGGAGGGCGTCCTGAGCTGAGCCTCCCAGTCAGGGCGCGGCCCAGGCGGCCCCGTGCGGAGCACACGGGGCCAGCCTGCCTCCTTACCTGTTCCGTGCGCCGCTCGAGACGCTCCGCTCAGCCAGACAGAAGGACACACACGCTGGTCAGTAGGGTCCTGACCGACATCAGCCCCATAACCAAAAAGCCACGCTCCTGCCTGGCATCCGTTAAGGGAAACGACTCTGAAACATTTTTATCGTCAAAGAAAGAAAACAAATAATAATAATTGTCCCCAACCGTTAGCCATGTTAGGGTTTCGTATACTACAAAATTTTTAAAACCTAATCTTCAGCCAGAATTCGTGTTCTTAGAAGTCCGTCTTTCCCATAAGAAGGTAATTGTAGCTTCTTTCTTACCAGCACGTCCAGGCAAACTAAACTAAAAGATTCCTGAGAAACATGCCAGATTGCTCTTCACAGGGCCGCTCGGAAGCAACCCAAATCCCGGATCATTTGGCCCTGTTAGCATCGTGAGTCGTCCACCCGGCCCCCCTTTTTGAGGCGACGTGGCTGACGTGGCCTGAAATTCATTTCTGCCAGCCTCTGGGAGGTGTCACCCCTCAGCCCTTGGGGGCGCGCCACGATCCTCACTCGTGAGTGGCCGTGTGGCTTCTCATGCCCGAGACCCGTGTGGCTGTCTTCCAGTGACTAGAGCAAGTCCACGAGAGAAAGCTCCCGAATGAAAGCCGGGCAAGGCCTGGGGTATGGTTGCACCTCTGAGGCACCAGTGGGGATCTCGCTATAACAAGCCCGTAAAAGTTTGTGGAGTTCTGCTGAACAGCTGCGGGAATCGGCCTCCCCAAGTGGCCCGCGCGGCCCGTAAGCTGGGTGGGGGGCCGGGGGGTGGGGGGAGCAAGGAAGCTCGCACATTCAATTAGTGAGTCTGTAACCAAAAACCCATCCATCTTTGCTGGCAGGTGGCTGACTGCATTTCTATTATTAGCTGACAGGTGATGTCACAAAACCTGTCATGGATCCAGCTAGGGAATCCTCAGCGGAAGATAAATGAGAAAGGGGTTCAGGTTATAAACAAAGGTGCCCTCCGGGTGACCTCTAGTCGCTGTAGACCTGGGACATATCAGCTATTCTCCCTTCCCTCCTTCCCGCAACCCCAGCCAGAAGTAGGGCACCAGGTTCGTGCTGTGTAAATTATCTTCCCAGTTAGGAGTCTGGCTGTACAGTCTGAAGTGTGTGAATGTACTTAACCTTCCATAACCTTTCCATTGTTTACTTTCGAGTATACATTTGTAGCTTCTGGCAAAAGGTAGGGATATCCTAGAGAGTTGTGCCAGCCTCATCTATTAACGGAGCTTCAAGAGGTTGCATTCATTTTTTTTTTTTCCTGAAAGGAGCAGAAAAAACACTGGCAAGAGGGAAGAATTTTTCCATTTTTTTTTTTTTATTAGCTGTAAATGTGAATACTTGTAAATAAGGGTCATTCTGAAATCACAGCCTGTGAACCGTTTTTCCAAAGAAGCCGTATAGGCTTGCTGTGGAGCCTGTTCTGTGATTGAAGAAGCACGTTAATTTCGGGGCGCCCGGGTGACTCAGTCGGTTGAGCGGCCGATTTCGGCTCAAGTCATGATCTCCCAGCTCGTGGGTTCGAGCCCCACGTCGGGCTCTGTGCTGACAGCTTGGAGCCTGGAGCCTGCTTTGGATTCTGTGTTTTCCGCTCTCTCTGCCCCTCCCCCACTCATGCTCACTCTGTCTCTTCTCTAAAAAATAAATAAACAACAACAACAAAAGATTTAGAAAAAAACCCAGAAGCACGTTGTTTCTCCTGCCAGCTCTGTGGGGCAGTCACGTCAGTAGGATTATCCTTACGTATTAATAGAAGACTGCTTTTTTCTTTTATTACCATCTACCTTTTTAATATGTATTTCCAGGGTTTCACCAAAGTTTGGTTTATAAGCATGCGTTCCTAAGCTTTTCTGTTGAGATATTGGCATGAAAAAGATTGTCTACTTTTAAAGTTAGTCCTCCCGGCATCTCTGGGAACTTCCCTGAGTCCCTCTAGACCCAGGCACCCTCTGGTCCCAGGCACCCACAGGACACCTCATACAGAAGGCAGGGCCCTGGCGGCCAGGGTTGGGATTCATCCCCCAGCCGGCCAGGCCCGGGCTGACCTGAGCTCATTGGAGACCTCTGTGTTCAGCCGAGGCTTTTTGAGTAGAAGTGCTGGGCTCGTTTCTATCTCTGACTCCTTTCCAGTGCACTCTGTCGTCTCCAGGGATTTGCGGAACCCCGTTTACTCTGCAGTCAAATGTGGCTGGTGGTGATTGTAGGGAGTCTTGGACAGCTTGTAAGAAAGGGACTATAGCTAATAACTTGTACAGTATCATCACTTACAAGCACTAGTAATTCTGCCATGTGTAATGGCTCTGAAAGCATTTATTATAAACCGCATGAGGGCAGGAATTTGTGTCTTTTTTGTCAGTTTTGGACACTGGCGTGCCAGGGGTAGAAATAAAGCTTGCAATATAGTAAGCGTGTTATTTATCCAGTTAAGTATTTGTTTCATTAATAGATGAAACCAATGTCTGTTGAGCATCTAACCTGCAGAGGCCTATGATAAAGCAAGAACCCTTAAAATACTAGGTTTTCCAATAAGATGCGTTGAAATTTTGAAAAGATCTGCTCAATTCTGAGTTCTGTTATTATAATGTAATTATAGTTAAAGCCGAATCTTGGGACTCTGATAATGACATTAAAGAACTCCAAAGAGCATGACTTCAGTTTTTGTAATAACAAATCTGATTCCATAGCTCTAAAAATGACTCTGTTAATGACAGAGCATAGACATATCCAGACATCGAGGAGGCATTGAAGTGACATAAGGCTCATTACTAATTTGTGTCATTGCATTTGAACTTAAACATTTCTCATTGCCTAAGACCTGGTACTCATTTTTCTAATCTTTTCCCCTAAAATAGCACAATAGTCCATCAAATTGGTGTACCAAATTTTTCATCCTGTTTTTTTTCTTACTCTCAGACATTTAGATTATCTCCATTATAAACAACACTGAAGTAAACATTTTTCTGCCTAAAGCCTTTTTTTATATTAGATTATTTTCTTTGAGATAAATACCCAGGAAAGCAATTACCCAGTCAAGAGGTATAAATATGTTTTATGGCTCACAAATGAAGTATGTTGCCAAATAGATTACTAAAAAAAAAAAAAAAAAAAAAAAAAAAACAAAACAAAACGAAAACAAAAAAACCTTTTACTAATTTTCCCTATAAAGAATCTAAGAGCAACTAATTTTACTACGTCGTTACCAGTAATGGATATTGTTACTATTTCTAATAAGATGGTGTCTTGTTTTCCTTCCTTTTTTTTTTTTTTTTAAATAAGTAGGGAGGATGAGCTTACTCGATAACCCCTAGTGTCTTCCTTACTTTCTTACTCCTCGTCCCAGCGAACTCAGGGTCCTTGCAAGGTCCTCAGACCCCCCAGTCAACCAGCAGCAATTCGATGGCAGACGTACAAGGCGACCTGAAGCCACCTACCCCAGCGTCTACCCCGCATGGACAGATGACCCCAATGCAAGGTGGAAGGTGTGTACGGTAGGAGATCTCCGTGAGCCCCACAACATCGCATTTATCGATCTCGTAATGTCCTGAAACAGACTGTAAAAGGGCTGTTATTGCCTCACGAGCTACCAAGTGTCGACCAAGAAATTACATCCGTGTAATTTTTCGGATGGTTTTTACGTGAAAAACTTTCAAGTTAGGCGCGTTTCCCGATCGGGCATTTGGTGGCAACTCCTGATATTTCGTTGCGCTTTCCTTGTCCTCGTCTCTTCAGAAGCGGTACAGTCAGCGTGCACGACCCGTTCTCAGACGCCAGTGACTCATCGTTCCCAAAACGGAACTCCATGACCCCGAGCGCCCCGTACCAGCAGAGCATGAGCATGCCTGACGTGATGGGCAGGATGCCCTATGAACCCAACAAGGACCCCTTCGGTGGAATGAGAAAAGGTAAATGCGGAGGGAGCAGACTAGGCCCAGAGGGCATTGTCCTCTCTGCCACCACGCAGCCAACCCACTTACCCGTTAGAGATGTGTCTGAGCCACACCTCCCCAACCTACTAGATTTCTGGCCTCGGGAAAAGTACTCAGTAGCTCTGTGCCTCAGTTTCCTCATCTAGGAATTAGGGCAATAACAAGACCTGCCTAAAGGATGTGACGAGGATTCAGTTCATGTACAAAAAGCCCACTGAAGAAACGACTGGTGCACGCAGTGGCACGCGTGCTCCTGGCGCTCCCTCGCGCTGCACGCCTTGTTGTATACCACGGGCTGGGCAGGGGCTAGGCGCTAGGTAGTGTGATAAGTCAGACGTAGTTCCCCCCAGAGTTGACGGTGTCTTAGGGGGAACAAACAAAAAGGAAGCGAAACCACAAATACGTAATTAAATATGGTGGCTGATGGAAGGAAGGGCACCAAGTGCGACGATGCGGGTTAAGGGTCACGGAAGGGAAGGACATATACGAAGGGATGGTCGGGAGGGGAGGGCTTTGAGGAGATGTCGGTTATCTGCTGAGACCTGAGGAATGAGGAGTAGAGAAGTGCAGGGGAGGGGGAAGGCCCGAGGCAGGAGTGGGCTTGGCGTGTTTGAGGAGGTGGAAGGCACCTGGGGATAATGGGCAGGGGGGAGGCTGAGTGCACCGAAGCCATCAGGGCCACTGGGCCAGAACTTTCAGCCTCCCCGGGCTTGGGGATGAGTCTGGGTTTGTACCCTCGCCGCAAGATGTTCTGTAGGAAGTGACGTGACTGGGTCTTTTGTTAAAAAACAAGTAACTGGGCATCTATGGAGAGTGTGTTGGCAGGACCACTGTGATGGTCCAGGGGAGAGATGACAGGGCGGAGTCAGATTCCAGCAGCCAAGAGAAAAGCAGAAGCACTCATCACACGTTCTGGACTTGGAAAGAACGGGCCGGGCTTGCTGGATTGACCGTGGGGGTCAAGGTGAGACCTTACTGAGAGGGTGACGACCTTACTACTTTGGAGATGCCCGCCTGGGAAGGGGCCCGCTGGTAGCGCTCACTGTTAGCACCTGCACTGTGGACAGCTGCGGGAGGAACGAGAGAGAAGTCCCGTGTTGACTTGGGGATGTGCTAAGGCGGTAGGTGGTGGAATGTCTGTCTGGAGCTGGGCAGAGCGTTGGAATTAGGAATCATTTCAGGGAACTCAGCAGAGGAGTGGGATGGAGCATCATGGGATGGATGGGATCACCAAGAATTGGGAGAGTTCTGACGGACGTTAGCAAACACCCAGCGTGGTTTTTCCCTTTATGCTCATCAATCCCCAGCGCTCACTTGGCTCTGAGAACGTAGCATCTAAGCCTCTGCCCTTTGAGCGCCTCCCGAGGCCCACACACTCCGAGCTCTTTGGCACCCTTCCAGGTGCAGGCGCGCTGTAAAATTGAGGCATGATAGTGAATATCATTGGAAGAAATACAGAAAAGGAGCAAATACTGTTTTCACGGAATTGCTTCTCGGATCCCTTAAACAGGAGTACCTCTATTTAGATGTTCGGGGTATGTGAATTTCTCGATATGTTATCCTTAGTCGAGAGAAACGTAAAGCCCAAAGCCTTGGTTTTCACAACTGTTATGGATCAGTGAAAGGCAAAAATGAATCATTTCAAAATTTTAAGTATTTATTTTTTACTTTTTTTAACATCTATTCATTTTTGAGAGACAGAGTGTGAGCAGGGGAGGGGCAGAGAGAGGGAGGCACAGAATCCGAAGCAGGCTCCAGGCTCTGAGCCGTCATCACAGAGCCTGATGTGGGCCTCGAACCCACAGACCGTGAGATTATGACCTGAGCCAAAGTCGGATGCTCAACCGACTGAGCCCCTCAGGCGCCCCATTTCAACATTTTAAGTATTAGGCATGTATCGTTTAACTACCAAATGAGATTATGTTTCATGTGTATTTCTTAATAACATTTCAGGTATGTTCCACAGAGTAAAATAATCTAATTTTTCGTTTCAAAAAGTTTCAGAGCTGTCTGTTCCAAGTGAATATTCTACAGAACATGCAATAAATCTGTAAGCTCAGAAACTCAAAAGCCTTGTAAACGTTGGAGGTGGTTATTTTTCTTAGTGGTATGAGATATTAGAAAGAACATTTTGTTCTTGCTGATGGTGGTTGTATCACATTTTTAGGCTCTGAAAATATGACAATAACATGGGGAAAATAATTAGTAGTGTTTGGAATCTGGCTTCAAAAGCTATGTGAACCGTTTCCATTAGCCCCACCTGTATGCTATATTAGACACTGAGAGTTGTATTTCTTTTGTTTCTGTGTGCCTACAGTTTTTCTTATTGTGAAAATAAATTGGGTGGAGGGGATGATTGTGGATTACCTTGTTAGGCACTAGCAAGCTGTATCATGTGTTTTCATCAACTGTGTAAGTGATACAGTGGCTGAGAGGGGACCCCCTTCTCACATTTCCCCGGGACATTTCAGCTCACCTGCTACCTTACCATGCTGGTGTAGTTAGCACCAAATTAAAGCAGATAAACAGAAAACCCACAGGAAACAAATTTTTTTCTCGCCCTGTCCTGTTACAATAAGTTTCGCATTCCTCAGTTCACATTATTCTGTCGGTGAACTGGTGGTGCTCCGATTTCTTATGTAATGACCAACATTAGGGGAAAGCCCGTTCTTTGTTGCTGCCGCTGGCCTACAGCGTGGTGTAGGGCAGAGACCAGAACCTGTCCCAGCCTCAGTGGCCCTAAGCATCCTTGGCCCCACCCGCCCTCCCCCCACTTCTATAATTCATTACTGATTGAAGGATTGATTAATTGCTTATAAGTGAACAGTAAGTGAATATTTACATATTGTATATCTAAACAGTATATTTTGAATACCCGTTAATATCTTTATACATCATCCTTTTTCTTAATGCTCCAGTAGTGAACGTGTTGTTTCATCATGCTTTGCTCTTCTTAAACATGAAGCTGTGATTATTGACGTATAGCTGTTTTTTCACATGTGTAAGAGTGTGTCTGTGAAATAGATTCTTGAAAGAATAACCGAGGGGCACCTGGGTGGCTCAGTCGGTTGAGCGACTGACTTCGACTCAGGTCATGATCTCGTGGTCCGTGAGTTCAAGCCCGCCAGGTGCTCTGTGCGGACTCGGAGCCTGAGCCTGCTTGATTCTAGTTCTCCCCTTTCTGCCCCGCCCGCTTCATTCCTCTCTCTCTCTCTCTCTCTCTCTCTCTCTCTCAATAATAAACATTAAAAATTAAAAAAAAAAAGAATAACCGAATCAAGGGATGTGAACTTTTTTTTTTTTTTTAGTTTACGGAGTATCTTTTACTCCGTAACAAACCGCCACAGAAAGCGGCTTTAAACAACAGCACTTGGGTGTGTCTCACAGTCCTCTGGTGGGCGGGGTGGTTCTGCATTTCGAGTTGTCAGCCAGGACCCTGAGGCAGCCTCTGTCACCTGGAAGCCTGATTAGGGACTCTGCTGGAGCCGCATCACTTGAATGGCCGGTGTCATCTGGAGGGTCTGTTGGTGTCGGAACCTGTCGGCTAGGGGGCCTCCCCCCTGGGCCGTCCCACGGAGCTTCTGGGGTGCCTCGTGGCATGGTGGATGGGTCACAGACACTCCAAGTTAAAAGTTAAGTTAAAAGTCGCTTGTCAGTTTAATACTCTTCACATGAACGTGGAACAGTGTGTGGCCCTCACTCCCTACCAAGAATGATCATTATCAGTCCTTTTAATAGTTGCCAGTCAGATGCGGGGGGGAGGAGTGGAGGGGACCGGAGGGCCTCATAGTTGTTTTGACTTGCATTTCTTTAATTGCTAGTGAAATCAGACACCTTTTCATATATTGATGGGCCATTTGTTTTCTTTTTTTCTGAATGTCCATTTATGCGGTTACCCATTTTTTTAAAAATCTGGTTGTCTTTTTCCTTACCTATTTTTAAAGAATTTTTCTTGTATCAAGGAATTAAGCTATTTAACTTTAATTATCCCCCTTAATGTTTGCCTGTCTCTGTTCTTCCATTTATAAAACGGAAAGTAACATCAAAAGTCATTCTACCACACGTGGACTTGAGGTGGAAGATACAGTGTGAGATAGCACACTTGCGAAGCACAGAGCCCCCCGCCCGTGTGAGACCCCATTATCTGCACCTCTGTTCTAACAAATTCCATCAGCTCACAGACGTTTAATCAGCTTTTGCTTCGTGTCACATAAAAGTAACCTTCCTAGGATGAAGAAAGGTAGTAGCACTGTATACCAATTAAGATTTGCATTAAAATGTTTAATTTGCCTACAGGCTAGTTTTTGGGCTTGACCCAATTTCCTTCAGGCTCTGAGCTGATGCTAATTTGCATATTTGACCTAATTGCCACTCTACGCCCTGATAGAAATACTAGTATTTCATCCATTCTTGAGTTATTCTTAATCCCCTAGTGGTTTTCCTTTTCCTGGTTTTGGAGTGAGTCTGCTGATAGGTATTCGTGCTAAGGTTTTTTCTTTTTTCCCCCCGTAAGGGAAGGGAACTAACTTTACCCATACAGCTGACCCTTGAACAACACAGGTTTACACAGATTTTTTCAATAAATAGATGTATGGTACTAGAGATGTTTTTCTTTTCTTTTTTTTTTTTTTTTAAGTTTATGTATTTTGAGAGAGAGAGAAAGAGAGCATGCTCTCAAGCCAGGGAGAGGGAGAGAGAATCCCAAGCAGGCTCTGAGTTGTTAGCACGGATCCCAACATGGGAGTCGATCTCACAAACCAAGAGATCATGACCTGAGCTGAAATCAAGAGTCAGATACTTAACTGACTGAGCCAGCTAGGCGCCCCATAAATGTGTTTTCTCGTAAGATTTTCTTAACATTTTCTTTTCTTTTCTTTAGCTTTGTTGTAAGAATACAGTATATAGTATGTATAACGTACAAAATATGTGTTAATTGACTATGTACGTTATCGGCAAGGCTTCTAGTCAACGGTGGCCTGTTAGTAGTTGATTTTAAGGGGGAGTCCAAAGTTGTACATGGATTTTCAACTTCGCGGGGGTGAGCACCTCTAACCCGCGCAAGAAGGGTCAACTGTGTATGCATTTCTTTCTCACAACCACTGCATGAGGTGGTATTACCAACTTTACTTCATCGACAGGGAGTTGAACTCAGAAGTTTGATGACCTACCCAAGAAAGGGCCAATGTTCACTCTCTACCTTACTTCATAACAAATTACCACAAACTCAGCAGCCTAAAACAACATCAGTTTACGGTCCCATGTTCCCGCGGGCTCTCAGCTCAGGGCCTTACACGGCAGACATCAGCATGTCAGCCAGGACTCAGGGCCCTCTTCCGAGCTCGTTGAGGTTGTTGGCAGATTTGGTTCCTCGAAGTCGAAGGACTGAGGTCTCATTGTCTTGTTGACTGTCGTCGGCCTTCACAGTCCTAGAAGCTGCCACCTTTGTGAATATGTGGCCTTCTCCACTGCATGGTGGGTGCCTCCTCAAGGGCGGCAGGCGGGTGTCTCTGACTTCCAGACACAGATTGAAAGGGCACGCCTGGATAATCTCCCTTTTAGTTGACTGCCAGTCAGCTGATGAGTCACTTTAGTTACATCTGTGAAATCCCTTTGGCCATCAAATGTAATGTAATCATGGGAGCCATGTTCCCATCATATTCGTGGGTTCTACCGGTACTCCAGGTGGGGGCTCATTTAAGGCCCGTGCGTGGGGTCAGGAATGGGGATCTTGGGGTCCTTCCTGAGTCCAGACCTTACACTCATTGGTTTGTATTGTTGTCAGCCATATTAAGACTGAGACATCTACATCTGCCATATTGAGGTTAACAGAAATGACTAGAAGGGCTGTCTGGGCCCCTTGGGGGTCGAAAATGCTTAATTTTATATCCGTGATTTAAAATGTTGCAGTGCCTGGGAGCAGTGAGCCCTTTATGACTCAAGGACAGATGCCCACTAGCAGTGTGCAGGACGTGTATAACCAGAGTCCCTCCGGAGCACTATCCGGTCTGGGCATGGGGCGGCAGCAGTTTCCCTACGGAGCCGGCTACGACCGAAGGTGAGTGTTTTCTAAGACCACACGGAGCGAGTGCTAGAAACTGCACTCTCCTCACACGTGCGTTTCCGAGCCCGGGGAGCCGACGACAGCACACAGTACCTGCTTTCCCGCTAAGCATCGTGTGGGGTGGCTGCCTTCAGGAGGGGGGAGGGGGACACCTGAGAACCAGGTGGTCCTCTCAGCACCCGGATGCTCGGCCCCTGTCCCCGCACCGAGACCCCCACCTCCAGCTGCCCCGAGTGGCTCCTCCTGTGAACGGCCACAAAGTCAGGCGTGTAGCATCGCCCGACCGCCTTCCCGCCTGCATCTCTTCCCTCGGGAAAGCCATCCAGGAAGCTCTCGAAAAAGTCTTCCAGGCCTTGTCTTCTCAGATGTTTCCATTCTTCCCTGCGAACGTGTGAAACGGAGAGAGACTACTCTGCTCCTTAAGAAACATCTCTGAGGAAAGCCACGGCAGTCTTTTTTTTTCAGGGTGGCCTCTGGACACTGAAATGTCGGGCTTCAGCGCTCATCCAGATTAGTTTTAGTTAGATGGAGGGAAAGTCATTGAAGTGTCTCTGAGAGGTCGCCAGAAACTGCTTCCTAAACTAGTCGCTTATGGGAGACTTCTTTTTGTGAAGCAGGCCCCTTACCTGTGCCCCTGACCTAAGTACTTACTACGAAAGCCCCTTCCCCTGGATGGGAGGTTCTTTACCTCACCGTCGCACGGGTGCTCAGAAACAAAGTCTTGAATGTAATATTTGTGATTTTGGAAGGAAATTGAGGCTCACTAGAGGACTCTGTTTGTAACTGTGGCCACAGGGGCATGGCTCGGGGTAGGGATGGCTGGTGTGGTGGTGTTCCTCACAGACTGCCCACCTGCTGGGCCGCGGGCAGTGGTGAAGTCTTGGGAAGGTTCCCTCCCCCCCCCCCCCCCCCCCCCCCCCCGCCCCACCCCGTAACACAAACAGGAAGGAAGGAAGTTTGAAAATCACTGTTTTTACCAAATAATATTTCTTTCTGGCACTTTCTGTGCACCTGGTTCTTGCGATTACATAGCCATCACAAGCTTAAAGTGATTTGGTACTTTCTAGTAGCGACTTAAGAACCTAGACTTCGGATTCTTACCCTGGCCATAAGTGTGGTGACTGTTTATTTGTGGTGTGTCCGTTAACCAGTTAACCATCATGCTTAGTGTGCTGGAGCAGGGATTTGACTTAGATCCGTTTTTGAGGATCCAAGAGAAACTCTTTTTTCCTTTTCCTTCCTTCCTTCCTTCTCTCCTTCCTACCTTCCAATGAGATTAGGAGAACAACTCTCTTGGAACATATATCCGTAAATGAACCCAGGCAGATGCGCTGTTCTGTTTCTTCTAGAATGCTTTCTAGAACTGGTTTAGGTCATCTGGCTGTACCCCATTAGGGCTTATTTACCTTTGATAGATTTTCTAAAAAGTGTTACTTTGTTCAGCTTAAATTTTATCTATGTCAATTCTATTTCTTTCCTCAACTGTAAGCTTCCTTCTAGCTGTTAATGCCCTTCGCAAACACGTCTCCTATGTCTGTTTTACCCGTGATCTTCTAAAAATTCATTTATTTTCTTTCTTATTTTCATTCCTTGACCAGTTTAGGCATATATTCAATCCAAGTATTGTCTTTCTTACAGGATTCAATCGATACACTAAGTAAACCAGTTTCTCTCTTTAAACTTCAAATCTATTGCTCTTTTAAGCGTGCTACTTTCATGGTATTTATAGCTGCTCAGTGTAATGGCAGTTGAAAAATAAGTGTATTAGTCATTCCCATTTTAAGATTTAGAAATGTAAAAAAGATTTAGACGTAGGAGTACGTTTAAATCAACCCCGTCACTCTTGTAAGTCCACTCTGTTACTCTTTTCTGTGGCCTTGTAGGGTCATGGGACTTCAAAATTTTGAGTAGGTCTATTTTTACAATTATTAGCTAACTCAGTATCATTTTGGATGAATCGGGAAGTACGCTTTTTAAGAGATTGAACACTTCCTATTCATAATGAGAAGATAAGTAGAGACAGTTTCCGTGCTTATACGTCTGTGTTCTGGCACTCCCAGAAATCCCGCTTTGATTCTTACGTTGCTTTTGTTATCTCCTGCTTTCATGAACACCTCACATCACCATGTTGTGACACTCCCCGGGGCCGCGTCAGTGGGTGGGCGGAGGCTCCTCTCAAAGGCAGAGGGTGCCAGCCTGTCCTGCCGGGACTCCTCACACACCTACTAGCCAGGAGATTGGCAGCGTTCCCAAAACGGGTGTGCCCATCCCTTTGGCTAAAAGTTCAAGTGCTGTTTCTGCTTGGCGTGCCTCTGTTGGAAGGTGTTGTGCAGTGAGGGAGAGACCAGACCACTCGGGGGTGCAGAATTCCCAGCAGTGAACTGTTCATTTCTCTCTCGGCCTGAGGTCTTTTGAAAATGAAGTTCTCTTTGAATGGCTCATTCTAGGCACGAACCTTACGGGCAGCAGTACCCAGGCCAAGGCCCTCCCTCAGGACAGCCGCCATATGGAGGACACCAGCCCGGCCTGTATCCACAGCAGCCGGTGAGTTGGCGGGCAGGAATGCATCTCTGTGCTTTCTGTTTAAAACTCAAATTTGCGTTACTTCTGAGAAGTTTTAGGAAGTATAACAATAAACAGTGGTATTTATTGAACAATCAGGATATATTTGCTCGTGCTAGAAAATATTGTTAGGATTTTAAAGTCAGCACATTTTAAAAAGCTCTTGATATATGGGATCCCGAAACAAATATAACATGTTGTAGGAAGCAAAGGACGTTCATCCTTGTAAATAACGCCCGGCCGGAGTAAAGGTTTTTTAAACGGGTGTCTGGTGTGTGTGTTGTCCTGTCAGGTGCCTGAACTGAAATTTGTCGATGTTTTAAAGAAGGTGTGTAGAAGAAAAAAAACAACTCCAAATATTATATACCAGTATCAAAAGTTAAAAGTTAATTGGCTTTTTAAAAACAAGATCTTAAGGACCGCGTGTTTTGCTGACATGGGGGGGGGGGAGGTTACGCTGGCCTACGCGGCCGTGGGTCTTCAATTGTGTAAGATAACCTTGCAGATGTCGCTACTGATGCAGAGAATTGCCCACCATGCTGTGGCCGTTCAGACACAGGACTTTGCTGTCTCGAAACAACTTTTCAGGTCTAAGACCTCTGGTAACATGGAAGGGGTTTTAAGCATTGAATTCTACTGGAGCGTGTATGTACGTGACTTTTATTTTTACACCAGCTGGTCCTAAACAGCTTCTGGGTGAGGTGAAAGAACACGAACACATCCACATCTCTCTACGTCAGGAGGTTCCCACCTGATGGGGTACTGACACCCGGATGTCCCCAGGAGGGGAACCTAGTAACGTGGGCTGCGCCGGGCCTGCTGTCAGAGGCTGGCACCAGCGGGGCTTGCGGGGGAGACTCTGACCTGCACAACTGGAAGTCGGGGTGGGGGCCGTAGACCGTAGGGTGTCCGTGCAGGCCCGGTCTGAGGAGCCAGATGCCGTGGGGAGACATTGCTAACGCAAAGCTAGGCCTGAGAAATCTGTCCAGGGGCTTTCAGGCTGGCCTTCAGGAAGCTCAGTCCATTCTGGTGAGAGTTTTCCTCTTCCTGCCGAGGCACCTTCGTGTAGTCCCGAGCCCCTGTCTGGCGTCGCCTGTGTGGGAGTCTCCAAAGCCACGTCCTCCTATATTGCAGCCCTGAGAAATCCCAAAAGGGAGGAGAGATACCTACCAGGAAAAAGAGAGAGGAAGCTTTCTTTTCCCCACAGAAAATTCCAAGCACACGAAAACAAACTTTGGAAACCCTCTTCGGAGTCCATGATGTGGTATCCTAATCCGGAAATAGAGTGCCTAAATTGTTAGTCCTTAGTTGTCACAGGAGCTTCCCATACCCATTTTGAAATGAACATTCCACCAGGTAATAACTGTTTTGCATAATTTAAGTGTGTGATTATACCTGTAAAAGCACATCAGTGTGATTTGTCTTTATATGAATTTCAGAATTACAAACGCCATATGGACGGCATGTATGGGCCTCCGGCCAAACGCCACGAGGGAGACATGTACAACATGCAGTTCGGCAGCCAGCAGCAGGAGATGTATAACCAGTACGGAAGTTCCTACTCCGGACCGGACAGGAGGCCCATCCAGGGGCAGTATCCGTACCCCTACAACAGAGAGAGGGTGCAGGGCCCCGGGCAGATGCAGCCGCACGGGATCCCGCCTCCCATGATGGGCGGCCCCATGCAGTCGTCCTCCAGCGAAGGGCCTCAGCAGAGCATGTGGGCGACGCGCAATGATATGCCTTACCCCTACCAGAACCGGCAGGGCCCCGGGGGCCCGGCCCAGGCCCCGCCGTATCCAGGCATGAACCGCACGGATGATATGCTGGTACCTGAGCAAAGGATCAATCACGAGAGCCAGTGGCCTTCCCACGTCAGCCAACGTCAGCCTTATATGTCCTCTCCCGCCTCCATGCAGCCCATCACGCGCCCGCCTCAGTCATCCTACCAGACGCCTCCATCACTGCCAAACCACATCTCCAGAGCCCCCAGCCCCGCGTCCTTCCAGCGCTCCCTGGAGAGCCGCATGTCTCCCAGCAAGTCTCCCTTTCTGCCCTCTCTGAAGATGCAGAAGGTCCTGCCCACCGTCCCCACGGCCCAGGTCACGGGCCCGCCCCCCCAGCCACCCCCGATCCGAAGGGAGATCACCTTCCCTCCTGGCTCAGTCGAGGCATCGCAGCCAGTCTTGAAACAAAGGCGAAAGATTACCTCAAAAGATATCGGTAAGCGTTCCGGGCTCGGTCCGGAAATGAAGCCCAGTTGTGTTCTAGAATTTTCATGTTAGCTTAGATCTAGCTCCTGTTAATCTCAAAGGGATGAAGTTCTTAGGACGACAAGCTGTCAAGCGGTGGTTCTACGCAGGGGCAATACTTGGAAGCTGCTGATCCGAGTTCAGAAACAGTGCCCGAGAGGAGCGTGAATTGACGTGGGATTTTTCCACAGGAGCGTTATCTGTGCGCGAGAGTAGAGCCCCAAGTGAAAGACCAGGGGATCCTCAGCGACTACCGAGTTCTGAGCTTAAAGCTTTGACCTTAACCAGGCACTTAATCTCTGCAGTGTGAGCCTAACAGCCGAAATGCTGAGGTGGCCTGAGAAAATACGAGCCACTCTGTAATTCTGGTAACAACATACAGACCGTGAGCTTCCCCGGGAAAAAGTAGAAGCCTGCATGTGATACGTAGATAAATATATAGTATATACGGAATTTGATATGCTTTGATGTATAGAATTGATGGTAACCCGGTGCTGGTAGATATGGGCCCAAAAGCTGTTTCAGTCGGGTGCAAATCGTGTTTATTCATTCTGTTGGGATGTTCTGAATGCTAATTAGAGATCTGGAACATCTAGGAGTACGCACAGTTTTTCTGCATTATTTTTGAAGTCCTTTTAATACGGCAAAGGAAATTATAGATCTTGGTCATACAAAAAAGTTTTCAAAAATCTCAAAATCACTTGACTTGAAATCATTTACTACAGGGACTAGAAAATCAAAGATATTAGAGATGTTTTCAACCATCAGAATTAAGGACCTGTACAGAGAGAGGGAGAGAGAAGTAAGGAGTTTTATAGAGAGGGTTGCTGGAGACAAGGAAGAGATACAGACACCGAGCACCATTTTCTGTATGGAAAGATATACGTAAAAATATGCACATGTGTCTGTGTGTTTATGCATGTGCACATAAATAAATGTATTTAAATTTTTTTTTTTTTTAATTTTTTTTTTTTCAACGTTTATTATTTTGGGGACAGAGAGAGACAGAGCATGAACGGGGGAGGGGCAGAGAGAGAGGGAGACACAGAATCGGAAACAGGCTCCAGGCTCCGAGCCATCAGCCCAGAGCCTGACGCGGGGCTCGAACTCACGGACCGCGAGATCGTGACCTGGCTGAAGTCGGACGCTCAACCGACTGCGCCACCCAGGCGCCCCGTATTTAAATTTTTATACATGTCTTTGCACATGTTAGATCAGTGTTTGTCTTCAGCCTGGGGAAAGTTATGTTCCTTATTTAAAGAAAAAAATTTTCTAATGTTTATTTATTTTTGAGAGAGAGAAAGAGAGAGAGACAGAGCGTGAATGGGGGAGGGCAGAGAGCGAGGGAGACACAGAATCCGAAGCGGGCTCCAGGCTCTGAGCCATCAGCACAGAGCCCTATGCGGGGCTCAAATCCACAAACTGCAAGATCATGCCCTGAACCGAAGTGGGACGCTTAACTGGCTGAGCCACCCAGGCGCCCCTATGTTCCTTATTTTAAAAAGGAAGTTTGCCTTTTCTGTTAGAAAAGTTTTGTGTGCCTCTTAGAAAATAGGAAACGTAGATGAGATCAACCTAGAGGTGGAAACCCACGGCCCCCCCAGCACAGGAGATCACTGCTGATGTCTGGCATTGGCTGTGGCCCTGGTGACTTCTGACCGCACAGGCCTGCTCGCGCCATGTGCTTCCGCCCGCTTCCCGAGACAGAAATTTCAGACCTATCGCGGGCCTCTTCTCCCAGCCCCATCTTATGGCAGATCCTGCAAATGTCTTCTCTAACCCCTCTCTCTTCTTCGGTAACAGGAAGAGGGGAAAGAAAAGCGCAGTCGCTCTGTTTCCCATCCCCTGGCTCAGACCAAGCTGTTGAAAAATCTGAACCATCAAAGTGCTAATAATTGTCAGCAGCATGTTCTGAGGGCAGGAGCTCGGATAGAAGAGGACAGCAAGGGAATATCAAGACTCTATATCTGAGAATGTGCTGCCGCATACTCACCAGCCTTCCAGAGATCTGCCAGAGGGGCCTCCCTGAGACATTTGGGAATGGAGCGGGCCAAAGAAGACAACCAGTTTTTTTGCTGTGACTCCATTACTAACACTCTGCTGCGTCATTACAGAGTCCGTTAGGGACTAAAGGAAATAAATCGGAGATGAGAAAGGGCCCTTGTGCTTATTAGCACTCCCACCTCTAGAAGCACTTTGGGCTCATGTGTAACCAACAAGCCAAAGGATCTTAAACGACAGCAGTTTCTTAGTAAGCCGTCCCCTCCGTGTGAATTCTGGAAACGATCGCGTTTAACTGCGCCTCGGCACATTTGTTTGAAATCAGTACCTTGCTCAACACCCCGCTTCTTTCTTCTTATTCTTTTGTTATTTTCTGTTCTTTCATGCACAGAGTTAATATTCACCTCATCCTTGTCCTTTCCCCTGGTTTTAGTTACTCCTGAGGCCTGGCGTGTGATGATGTCCCTCAAGTCCGGTCTTTTGGCTGAAAGTACATGGGCTCTGGACACCATTAACATTCTCCTGTACGATGACAGCACTGTCGCCACCTTCAGTCTCTCCCAGGTACGCCAGCGCCCGTCCAGCCAGGGGCCGGGGTAGAACAAGAAAGTTCAGGAGCTCATGCTTGAACGCATGCCCAGAGTGGTGGGCACCGCGGGACGCAGGGCCGTCCTCGTGGCTCTTACACATGTAGAGCTGTCTGGGCGCTTAATCCGGGAATCATAATTCCTTCCAGGCTCCAGTATAATAAGCACACGCATACGTGTGCTTCTCCTGAGAAAACAGTCCTCTGTGCACACGTGTGTGTGTATGTGTGTGTGCGGCATAGATAACAGTGAAAGTAATTGTTGTTCAGAATGAATATCAGCAGGCGGGTGGGAGGTAATCCAGACACGAAGCCGGCGCTGAAGTCAGGCTGAATACGCAAGAGCTTATAACGGGACATACTCTACTTTCCAGTGAGACATAATCCCTTCCTTTTAATTAAAAAGAAATGTTATAGAAAATGTACGAGAGAGAGAGAGAGGCAGAGAGAACAGCTTGGTGAGCCCCCGTATACCCATCACTCAGCTGAAATAGTTGTGAACTCATGGCCAAACTTGTTTCTTGGTCTCCTTCCTTCCTTTCTGCCTCTGCCCACCTTATTCTGAAGGAGTCATTGAAAAGCCTACTAATCTTGGTAAGCTTAACGCTGTCCTTTGTTCAGTGCTAGACTTAGGTGTGGCTTCCAGCATTAATTGCTAGAAGAGGGAAGGGGAGCAGAGGGTTAGGGGAAATGGCCCAACTGAGCTACAGACTTGTAAAGAAATATGTAGAAACAAAAACAAGAAAAGGTAACTCTCCTTACTGAGTACGCACAATTCTCTGCTTTGGGGGGAGAAAACCAGAACATCTAATTACCTTGCTTCTGTCGAAATTAGACCAGAATCTTCCACTTGGTCTTTTCTTCTCACATTTCAGTCCTTCATGATAGCCCCGAAAGGCAAGTTTTCACTTGATAGGAAGTGTAGTAATAAGGTTATAAACATCACTTGAAGTCCACTGTAACAGAAAATATTTAAAAATGTATACGCCTCCCTTAGAGTAATTGCCTTTCAGCCTTCTGTTGGGTGAACGACTGTTGATCACACATTTTAGTAACCAGAATTGCTTTGGTAACTTGCCCCTTCCCCTGCCCTGGGAAAAAAGTTCACTTTAAGTATGGTGGGGGCGGGGGGGAGATAAACGCCCAAACCTTCACTTGCAAAATTGTGTGCCTTCGTCCCCTAAAAGTGAGTACTTTGTGGTTAGTACCTCAGTTTCCCCTTTCTCCTTAATAATTGTTTCAACCCCACTTTCAGGAAACTGATAGCAGGATATGAAAGTATGGTTGACTTCCAAAACACCTATCATTAAAGACTCCTCCCTTCCTTATTAACCCTTTATCATCCCTAAACGCGGTGGCGCGGGTGCTGGGGGCGGGGAGCTGGGGCAGTTGCTAATCATGGAGCGTGTTGATTTTCTTGATGCACACATTCGCTTAAAGGAAACAAAACTGGTTCTCATAGTTGCTTTTGTCTTTCAGTTAGAGTTGTGATAACTGAAATGTAAAATTGCATTCGATGAAACATTCTAATTCATTTATCAGGGACTAAATTGATTTGTTTTTAATTTTCTGTGTTTATGAGCTACTACATTGCTGAAATTATCTTCTCCCAAAGATATATGGAGAATGTAAATTAGAGTAACCTATGGCACCTGAGACAAAAATAACCATAAAATCCTAAGAATAATAACCATAAAAATCCAGGCAAGCAAGTCTCAGATAAATAGCAGAAGAGAACAGACTCACTTTGGGTGAATGAGTCTATAAAATCCACATTCCCACTCTTCTAATATGGAGTGTGTTGTACCTAAATCAGAAGAAAAGACAAAGAGCACAAAGCAGTCCGTCACTGATACTATTAAAGGTAAGAAAATAACACGGAAGTTTCCATACTGATAGAGTAGGAAAGTAAACAGCAAATAAAAAAACATGTGGTTTCGTCAACAATGTAAAATTCAGGAGACGGTTCCCACCCATCTGTGTTTTCTCTTTCTTGGCCCAGACAAAAAGGAAATGAATCGTGTGAAAATCACCCTAAAAATGTATTGATAGTTATTAGGATTGTTACCCTTCTCAGTCCCCGTGTGAGGTTATGACATTGTCCCCGTTCTTGTTCTTGTCCTCCTCTCTAGCTGTCCGGATTTCTGGAACTTTTAGTAGAGTACTTTAGAAAATGCCTAATTGACATTTTTGGAATTCTTACGGAATACGAGGTGGGAGACCCCAGCCAAAAAGCACTTGATCACAATGCGGGGAAGAGAGCTGACGGCCAGTCCTTGGCCGACGAGTCTGGGAAAGAGGAGGAGGGCACCGAGTGTGTGGACGAGGAGGACGACGAGGAGGACGACGAGGAGGACGACGAGGAGGAGGACGACGGGAAGACGGAGACCGAGGAGAAGAGCAGCTCGACTCTGGCCTCTCCCAACACCACTGCGGATCCGAAGGAAAAGCCCAGGCAAGCTAGCAAGTTCGACAAGCTCCCGATAAAGATAGTCAAAAAGAACAACCTGTTTGTGGTCGACCGATCTGACAAGCTGGGTCGTGTTCAGGAGTTCAACAGCGGACTTCTGCACTGGCAGCTTGGCGGGGGGGACACCACCGAGCACATCCAGACTCACTTTGAGAGCAAGATGGAAATTCCTCCTCGCAGGCGTCCACCTCCCCCTCTGAGCTCCACCGGGAGGAAGAAAGAGCAGGAAGGAAAAGGCGATTCTGACGAGCAGCAAGAGAAGAGCATCATCGCAACCATCGATGATGTCCTCTGTGCTCGGCCGGGGGCGCTGCCCGAAGATGCGAACCCTGGTACCCAGACCGAGAGCGGGAAGTTTCCCTTTGGGATACATCAAGCCAAAAGTCACCGGAACATCAAGCTGCTGGAGGACGAGCCCAGGAGCCGAGACGAGACTCCTCTCTGCACCATCGCGCACTGGCAGGATTCCCTGGCCAAGCGCTGCATCTGTGTGTCGAATATTGTCCGTAGCTTGTCTTTTGTGCCTGGCAATGACGCCGAAATGTCCAAACATCCAGGCTTGGTGCTGATCCTGGGGAAGCTGATTCTCCTTCACCACGAGCATCCAGAGAGGAAGCGAGCGCCGCAGACCTACGAGAAAGAGGAAGACGAGGACAAAGGGGTGGCCTGCAGCAAAGACGAGTGGTGGTGGGACTGCCTGGAGGTCCTAAGGGACAACACGCTGGTCACGTTGGCCAACATTTCCGGGCAACTAGACTTGTCTGCGTACACAGAAAGCATCTGCCTGCCGATTCTGGACGGCTTGCTGCACTGGATGGTGTGCCCGTCGGCAGAGGCACAAGACCCCTTTCCAACCGTGGGACCCAACTCTGTCCTGTCGCCTCAGAGACTTGTGCTGGAGACCCTCTGCAAACTCAGTATCCAGGACAACAACGTGGACCTGATCTTGGCCACGCCTCCATTTAGTCGCCAGGAGAAATTCTACGCTACGTTAGTTAGGTACGTTGGGGATCGCAAAAACCCAGTCTGTCGAGAAATGTCCATGGCGCTCTTATCGAACCTTGCCCAAGGGGACGCGCTGGCAGCAAGGGCAATAGCTGTGCAGAAGGGAAGCATCGGAAACTTGATAAGCTTCCTAGAGGACGGGGTCACCATGGCCCAGTATCAGCAGAGCCAGCATAACCTCATGCACATGCAACCGCCGCCTCTAGAACCACCTAGCGTGGACATGATGTGCAGGGCGGCCAAGGCTCTGCTGGCCATGGCCAGGGTGGACGAGAACCGCTCGGAATTCCTTCTGCACGAGGGCCGATTGCTGGATATCTCGATATCAGCCGTCCTGAACTCTCTGGTTGCGTCTGTCATCTGTGATGTACTGTTTCAGATTGGGCAGTTATGACATCAGTGAGAAGGCAGCATGTGTGAGTGAAAACTAGAGGCTCCCGTATAACTGGCTGTTTTCTGTTCTTGTTTATCCAGCGTAGGAAGAAGGAAAAGAAAATCTTTGCTCCTCTGCCCCATTCACTATTTACCAATTGGGAATTAAAGAAATAATTAATTCGAACAGTTATGAAATTAATATTTGCTGTCTGTGTGTATAAGTACATCCTTTTGGGGTTTTTTATTTTGTTTTTGTTTTTGTTTTTTTTTTTAACCAAAGTTGCTGTCTAGTGCATTCAAAGGTCACTTGTTGTTTTTCACAGATTTTCTTTTTAATGTTCTTTTCCATGTTGTATTGCATTTTTGGGGAAGCAAATTGACTTTAATGAAACAAATTGCGGCGAAAGATGCTAAGATGGGAAAATTTCACCACACTGAGGCAAAAAAGGTGAAAAAGTGATCAACTTCCTAGGCATGTCATTCTTCAGATAATGAAAACAAAACAAAACAAAACAAAACTGTATCCCATCACCCAAAGCTCTGTGCAATAGAAACTACTTCTAGAGATGTAGGAATAGGGGCTCAAGGAGGTGTGTCAGTCAGTAGTCAAACTATGAAATGATACTGGTTTCTCCACAGGAAAATGGTTCCATTAGGCTAGGAGCAAAAACAATGTCGTTTGAAGTTAAGAGTGAAAACACATACCTGACAACGATCAACGGAAATTGCTTCCTCACCACTACCGTCGGTCATGTCTGCCGTCTGTCGTTGGACCTTCCACGTGACAGTTCTTCACAATTCCTTTAATCATTTTTTAAATATTTTTTTTTTTTACTGCCTATGGGCTGTGATGTATATAGAAGTTGTACATTAAACACACCCTCATTTTTTCTTTTCTCTTTTCTTTTTTTCTGTTTTTTTTTTTTTTTTAGTACAAAGTTTTTAGTTTCTTTTTCATGATGTGGTAACTACGAAGCGATGGTAGAGTTAAATAATTTTTTATTTTTATTTTATATATTTTTTCATTAGGGCCATATCTCCAAAAAAAGAAAAAAAAGAAAAAATACAAAAAACAAAAACAAACAAAAAAAAACAAACAAAAAAAAGAGGGTAATGTACAAGTTTCTGTATGTATAAAGTCATGCTCTATTTCGGGAGAGCAGCTGATCACAATTTGCTTCATGAATCAAGGTGTGGAAATGGTTGCATATGGATTGATTTAGAAAATGGTTACCAGTACAGACAAAAAAGAAAAAAATACAACTAAAAGGAAGAAACACAACTTCAAAGATTTTTCAGTGACGAGAATCCACATTTGTATTTCAAGATAATGTAGTTTAAAAAAAAAAAAAAAACTTGATGTAAATTCCTCCTTTTCCTCTGGCTTAATGAATATCATTTATTCAGTATAAAATCTTTATATGTTCCACATGTTAAGAATAAATGTACATTAAATCTTGTTAAGCACTGTGATGGGTGTTCTTGAATACTGTTCTAGTTTCCTTACAGTGGTTTCATAGTAACCAAGTTATCCACAAGAAATAGGGGAAATACAGCCGCGGACTAACAGAGTCCCTGTCACGAAACCCTGAGGTCGGGAGGGACCTGTAGGGTTGACCTGCTTTAGAGTGGGGGGGGGGCAACAGTTCGATTTTTCTCCAATTATTTAGCTAATGAGTCTTTGTTTGAAGCGATCCACGCGAACGACATTGAGGTCTGAGAATCTTCAGTATCTATGGGAGGTGGCTGCCGGCCCAGGAGCTCACTGGCCTGACAGCAGAACATTCTGCCTTTCACTAACCCCGTCTTGATTTTAATCAGAGTTCAGTCTAGTCCACGTTTCTTCTGTGTGCCTCAGAGGTATTTTGCATTTAGTTTACTCCACCGTGTATAATATTTATATTGTGCAATGTTAAAAAGAATATGTTATATTGTATGTGGTGTACATAGTGCAAAGTGATTATTTCTATTTCAGGGCATATTAATATTCTCATATTCCTTCCTACCTGGTGCACAGTAGCTTTTTAATACTGGTCACTTCTAATTTAAACCTTTTCTTCCCGGGTCCTTGACTGTTACCGCGTAACAATCGATCTCTTTGAAACTGCTGCAGAATCCAGCTGTTAGCGGACAGACACCCTCTGACTCTACCTCTTTACCACCCTCCCAGTCACGACACAGAAACCCCAAGTCCTTTCGCCAGACCCGTTGTCCGGGGTTGCACCTGGAAGAGTTAGACAAGAGCACGCAGCCACGACCAGCGTGTGAAACGTGACGCTAGTGTCACGAGAAACAGATTTTTCTGCGAGCAGTGTCCTCATCTGTCAGCCCCCACATTACTTAGTCACACAACCTTCGTACCTAACGAGGCAGCCAAATACATGTTGAATTAAAAGCCCATTTATAATTCTACTTTAAGTACATCTGCTTGCTGAGAACAGATTGTAGTGCTCTGAGCTTCAACTACCGAAGATTTGTAAGAGGGAATCGATAGGAGTCCAGTCGCTCTCTTACAGAGCACGAACACAAGGTGTGCAGAGACTCTGAAGCCATCCACTACCCCAATTTCTTTTGTCAACCGAAAGCGTAAAATCATTACAAAAGACTGTTGTTTTCATGGTTTGAGTTGTAATCAGTACCTAGAGTCTGACCATTGAGCAACAAGTTTTTACATACCGATATGCAACGTAACCTCTAGAATAATCCAGGAAGACGTTAGCATCCTTTCTACATTCTCACCCCAGAATCAAGACTGCAGAAGCCCATGAAGAACTTACAACCTGCCTGAGATCATCCCGCCTACAAACTGAGTTATTGCTTTGTCCTAAAACTTAGTTGGTTTTTTTTTCTATGAGGCTTTTCAGAAACTTACAGGATGCCCGTACTTTAAATGTGTACAAAAAAAAAAAAAAAAAAAAAAAAAAAAAAAAAAAAGATAAAAATAAAGGTGCAAAGAAAGTTTAGTATTTTGGAATGGTGCTATAAAGTTGAATCTGTTGGTATTCGAGTGCATTTTTTTAATGTCACATAAGAGATATTGGGTGGCACGTGCTCAGAAATGACTATTCAGATGTTTTGTTTGAGGTCGAGAATGACAGAGAATCCGATTTTATTGGTGAATGTGGCCTATTCAGAAACTAGCTACACTGCTTTTGCAAAGTGAGAATAGAGAATGGTTTTTTCAGGGGGTGTGAGCAGTTGGCTGACCCAGCGTCAGCTGCTAAGTACCTTTCTCATGGAAGGAATATGGCCTTTGCCCTGAAATCCATCCATTTAAAAACTGTTGGAAATCTTTCATTTCCCGTCAAACCCCATGTACCGATTCCTATGATCTGTTCACCTGCAAGGAAGCAGAGAAGGTATTAAATGAGCCAAAAATGACAATCCAAACAACCCATCTTCTTCTTGCTGGGTTCACTTCTTTGTCTGGAGAGCTGGAGGCCCAGCCGCCCGACGGCCCCTGCCCTCCGCCCCTCCGTGGCACCGCAGAGAACTTCCTAGTCAGATGACCTTTCAAACATGCCTAGAAATCTTCTTGGGGATAGTCATAACCTACTAAGATGTCTCATTTTGCATTAATTCAGCAGAGATGTGTTGAGCACTCCCTGCCTCAGCCCTCGGCGCTGAGGAGTCCCTCGTGAATGAAGACTTGGGTCACGTTCTCGTCTTTTGGGTCAGACAGATTCCCGAGACAGTCTTCCAAGTGCATTGTTTACGCACTGAGAACACTTGGCACGCTTTTGTTGACTACCAAATAAAGTAAGGCTCTATAGCCCGTCAGTGTGTGGGGAAGAGCTCTGGGCTGAAAAGCAAGGGGACTGAGTCGAGGCTCAGTGACAGCCTGACCTGCAGGTGCTAGGACAGCATGGTCTCTGAGGCCCCTTCCGGCTCTAAAACGTGACTCCAGAGCCTCCGGTTCCTTTCCTGCTCACGCAGGAGGGCCTGTCTGGAGGGGACCAAACGATGGTAGCCTGGGACCGTGACGCCAGGCTGCTTGATGGGCCCTGGGAAATTTAGGAATTGATTGAGACTGTACGAGAAGACCGCATCAAGGCCTTTTTTTTTGACGTTTTATTTTTGACAAAGACAGAGTGTGAGCAGGGGAGGGGCAGAGAGAGAGGGAGACACAGAATCCGAAGCAGGCTCCAGGCTGAGCTGTGAGCACAGAGCCCGACGCGGGGCTCGAACTCACAAACTGTTGAGATCATGACCTGAGCCGAAGTCAGGTGCTTAACCAACTGAGCCACCCAGGCCCCCCTTAAGGCCTTTTTTTTTTTTTAAGTTTATTTATTTTTAGAGAGAGAAGGAGAGAACACGAAGGGGGGAGGGGCAGAGAGAAGGAGAGAAAATCCCAAGCAGGCTCCATGCTGTCGGCACAGAGCCCAACGCGGGGATCCATCTCACGAACCGTGACATCGTGACCTGAGCTGACGTCAAGTCAGACACGTAACCAACTGAGCCATCCAGACGCCCCGCGAGGCCTTTTTTGTTCTTAAGTCCCACGTACCCCCCCCCACGTGTCCATGCCTATCTTCCCGTCGCCGTGCCTCACGCTTCCGTCCCGTTTTCCAGTCCTGCTTTTGTTTGATGATGCTCCAAGTCCTCTAAAATGCCACAAATTCCCAAGTTGATTCACGTTGGGATTTAAACCTATGAAACCCCGGGGGGAAGCTGGGGTAAGACCATCAAATGTGTTCTTCCTGAGTCTGACTTCAGGGACATGAAGTTTTACCCCAGCTTTTTCAAAGCATATGCCAAGAAATAGAAGAGATCTCAAAACAAAAGCAAAAACATCCCGAAACTCCTTATGTGTTCTCTTGGCCATCTGTAATCCATGTTATCATATTAAAGACTGAGAAACCCTGCAGAAAAGAAGCCTGTTTATCCCAAGCATTTCCTGACTTAATTAACCTTGAAACCTTTTTTTCCCCTCTAAACGTGCTGCACAGCTTTGGTAGACTGCACACGTTAGCGGAAGATACTGCCTCACTTCTAAACCTCCGTGTACCCTGCTTGTCC